AGTATATGAGTTCTTCATGACTAATGTTGAGTCCATGGATTATACGCACTCTCACCCTTCCACCATTGCTAGCCTCTCTTGTGCCGCGCAACTTTCGCCGGTACCATACACCCACCATATACCTTCCTCAAAACAGCCACCATACATACCTATTATGGCATTTCCATAGCCATTCCGAGATATATTGCCATGCAACTTTCCACCGTTCCGTTTATTATGACCCGCTCCATCATTGTCATATTGCTTTTGCATCATCATGTAGTTGACATCGTATTTGTGGCAAAGCCACCTTATAATTCTTTCATACATGTCACTCTTGATTCATTGCATATCCCGGTACACCGCCGGAGGCATTCACATAGAGTCATATTTTGTTCTAAGTATTGAGTTGTAATTCTTGAGTTGTAAGTAAATAAAAGTGTGATGATCTTCATTATTAGAGCATTGTCCCAAGTGAGGAAAGGATGATGGAGACTATGATTCCCCCACAAGTCGGGATGAGACTCCGGACTTTATGAAAATAAAAGAGGCCAAAGAATCCCAAATAAAAAAAGAGGCCAAAGAAGCCCACCAAAAAATGAGAGAAAAAGAGAGAAGGGAAAATGTTACTATCCTTTTTCCACACTTAAGTAGCACCATGATCGTCATGATAGAGAGTCTCCTATGTTCTCACTTTCATATACTAGTGGGAATTTTTCATTATAGAGCTTGGCTTGTATATTCCAATTATGGGCTTCCTCAAATTGCCCTAGGTCTTCGTGAGCAAGCAAGTTGGATGCACACCTACTTAGTTTCTTTTGATGAGCTTTCATATACTTATAGATCTAGTGCATCCGTTCCATGGCAATCCCTACTCACTCACATTGATATCTATTAATGGGCGTCCCCATAGCCTGTTGATACGTCTAGTTGATGTGAGACTATCTTCTCCTTTTTGTCTTCTCCACAACCACCATCCTATTCCACATATAGTGCTATGTCCATGGCTCTCGCTCATGTATTGCGTGAAGATTCAAAAAGTTTGAGAATACTAAAGTATGAAACAATTGCTTGGCTAAAACCGGGGTTGTGCATGATTTAAATATTTTGTGTGATGAAGATAGAGCATAGCCAGACTATATGATTTTGTAGGGATAACTTTCTTTGGCCATGTTATTTTGAGAAGACATGATTACTTTCTTAGTATGCTTGAAGTATTACTATTTTTATGTTAATATGAACTTTTATCTTGAATCATTTGGATTTGAACATTCATGCCACAATAAAGAAAATTACATTGAGAAATATGCTAGGCAGCATTCCACATCAAAAATTATGTTTTTATCATTTACCTACTCGAGGACGAGCAGGAATTAAGCTTGGGCATACTTGATACGTCTCCAACGTATCTATATTTTTTGATTATTCCATGCTATTATATTACCCGTTTTGGATTTTTATGGGCTTTACTAAGCACTTTTATATCATTTTTGGGATTAACCTATTAACCGGAGGCCCAACCCAAATTGCTGTTTTTTTTCCTGTTTCAGTGTTTCACAGAAAAGAAATATCAAACGGAGTCCAAACGGAATGAAACCTTCCGGAGAGTTATTTTTGGAACAAACGCAATCCAGGAGCTTGGAGTGTACGTCAAGAAGCAAACGAGGAAGCCACGAGGCGGGGAGGCGCGCCCTAGGGGGTGGGCGCGCCCCCACTCTCGTGAGCCCCTCGTGGCTCCCCTGACCGACTTCTTTCGCCTATATATATCAACATACCCTGAAAACATCCAGGAGCACCACGAAACCGTATTTCCACCGCCGCAACCTTTTGTACCCGGGAGATCCCTTCTTGGAGCCTTTTTCGGTGCTCCGCCGGAGGGGGAATCGATCACGGAGGGCTTCTATATCAACGCCAAAGCCTCTCCAATGAGTTGTGAGTAGTTTACCTCAGACCTTCGGGTCCATAGTTATTAGCTAGATGGCTTCTTCTCTCTCTTTGAATCTCAATACAAAGTTCTCCTTGATCTTCTTGGAGATCTATTCGATGTAACTCTTTTTGTGGTGTGTTTGTCGAGATCCGATGAATTGTGGGTTTATGATCAAGTTTATCTATGAGAAATATTTGAATCTCCTCTGAATTCTTTTATGTATGATTGGTTATCTTTGCAAGTCTCTTAGAATTATCAGTTTGGTTTGGACTACTAGATTGATCTTTCTTGCAATGGGAGAAGTGCTTAGCTTTGGGTTCAATCTTGCAGTGTCCTTTCCCAGTGACAGCAGGGGCAGCAAGGCACGTATTGTATTGTTGCCATCGAGGATAAAAAGATGGGGTTTATATCATATTGCTTGAGTTTATCCCTCTACATCATGTCATCTTGCCTAATGCGTTACTCTGTTCTTATGAACTTAATACTCTAGATGCATGCTGGATAGCGGTCGACGTGTGGAGTAATAGTAGTAGATGCAGAATCGTTTCGATGTACTTGTCGCGAACGTGATGCCTATATACATGATCATGCCTAGATATTCTCATAACTATGCACTTTTCTATCAATTTCTCGACAGTAATTTGTTCACCCACCGTAATACTTATGCTATTTTGAGAGAAGCCACTAGTCAAACCTATGGCCCTGGGTCTATCTTCCATCATATAAATTTCCGATCTACTTTATTTTGCAATATTTACTTTCCAATCTATATCATAAAAATACCAAAAATATTTATCTTATTATTATCTCTATCAGATCTCACTTTCGCAAGTGGCTGTGAAGGGGTGGACAACCCCTTTATCGCTTTGGTTGCGAGGTTCTTGTTTGTTTGTGTAGGTACGAGGGACTTGCGTGTAGCCTCCTACTGGATTGATACATTGGTTCTCAAAAACTGAGGGAAATACTTACGCTACTTTGTTGCATCACCCTTTCCTCTTCAAGGGAAAACCAACGCAGTGCTCAAGAGGTAGCAGACCCCTACCCCGAGGCCATAGGCAGGCGGGTCTAGGTACCCCCGGTCCCAGAACCCTGACAGTGCAATAGCCAATAGCCGAGAAAAAAGGTTGATGTGAGGTGCGGGAGGGGAAGGAAGCGGTCGGTTGGGGTAGTGGTTACGTGGGTGGGCGCGGGTTTGCGGGGAGGGGAACACGGGGTCATGCCACACTGATGAGGGAAGGGACCTTGCATTTGCCTACCGAAGAGGAAAAGCTCGACCCAACTGACGCTCTTGCCTGCTTCGCCTCCAACCTGCAAGACCATACCGACCCCAAGAACGATGTGTTCCCCTCTGCAAACATGCATATAGTTCATCTAATCATGCAATTCAAATTTAAACATGCATAGAGTTGATCCAAAAGGCACCACATTGATCAACTTTGATCAAAAATCACCGCAACATAACATTTCTTTTGTCATGGATCAAACTCTAGTACTCTACCAAAGGCATGCATCAAAAACTCAAGCACTTTCGTGCTCATCACCGCCATCATCACCTCCAAGGAAATCGTCACGACCCGCACGGCCACCACCACCACCTCCATGGACACCACCACTTCCTCCACGCCCACCACCATCACCCCCACGAGATACCTATGATTGGGTCATGATCTCTACACGAGTGAGCTCCCAATATTTCCTTGTTGTGGTATCCATCGTGCATGGGTTTATCAACAAGATAGCCCGCTCTTCGGCCTTCCTCTCTTTTGCACGCATCTCCTCCTAGAGAGCAATCCTACGCTCCTCCCTCTTCACCTTTCTCTCTTAGAACGCTAACTTTGACCTCCACTTCTCATCCTCCAAGCACCTGAGCTCGTTCCATCTTGCTGTCTTCTCTTCTTTGCGTTTGTCCGTCAATGCTTTCTTGGTCTCAATCATAACACAAAGCTCCTCCTTGTAGGCACTAACGCCTCCACGGTTCTTCCTCTATTTTGCAAGCTTTTTCCCATCCGGCCTCTTGTAAGGTTTTTCATCCTCCTTGTCATCGGCTTCAACGGATATGCTAATCCATGATGGTCTAAAAGTTCCTCCGGATCACTTCTCATTGCCAACTAGTTCCCAGTAGAAATTGTGCAATGTGAAGGCCTTGCCGCCATTCTTGTTGTGTTCGTGTATAGGGCTTGGATGATAGGCCCATACTACGTGATTTGCGCCCCCCCCCCCCAGTGTTGCATGGTTGACTACCAGACCATCGGTTGCATTGCTCTTGTATGGTGCCCCAACAGTGTTCAAGAGAGCCTTGAGTGTGGTTGGACGAGACGGTCACGATGTTGCAAGAGTAGTCTTCAATTCTACTCCAAAATCTCTCCTTGGTTTGATCCGTGCCAACCAATGCAGCAAGCGACACATTCATCCAAGCATGGCACAAAGCAATGTCTTCATATTGGGACTAGTTTTGTGTCCTTGATCTCTTATGCTTGCTTGAGTATCCACAGGATCTTCGACCTCCTCCACTTCAGGATCATCGTTCTCCTCAGTATCTTCTTCTTGACTATACCTAACACTATTAAGGTCTGTTTAGAACCTACTTTTGTTATGCCCCACATATCTATTATACACCCTATTCTATCGCCCCACATATCTCCACCTACTTTTGTTCCAAACTTTTGAATTCAAATTCGCATACTAATGCCAAAAACGAGAATGTAAGAAATATGAAAAATAAAGGAAACAAAAGAGGCAAATGTTGAAAGAATCTTCGAGCTAATAGCTGGACATGCTATAGCTGCTTGTGTTGCAATTTGTGTTGATTATCAAGTTTAGAACATCACAAACTGTCTTGAGTTGCACAAAAAGGAAATGTCAATTTGTACTGCTCATCAAAGCATAACAGGTTCTATCGCCATCTTTATGCAGGCACCGACGCTAGTGTAACGAGTTTCTGCCAACATGTATTGCACTAAGGTCACATGCTAAAACCACGAAGTGGGTAGACATAGAAATCAAGGGGCAAATTTTCGTCATCAAATAGCGAACAAATAGCAAGCAAGTGCTAAACTACAGCCAATGGTCAGGTGTCTTCTGAAACACGAGAAGCCTAGCTGGTAGACATGGTCTTATCTGCAGCAGGCACCACTCTCTTCAGTTGTAGCTCACGAAGTCTGTTTGCGGCTAGCTCCTTCGCGAGAAGTTCAGCCTGGGCATCCAGGGACTTCTTGAAACCCGCAAAGCACTTGTTGCGGAGGTAAGTCCGGCCATCCTTGACCGATGATCCGACGACCATGCCAGAACCATATGCACGGCATGCCTCTAGGATGGCCCGCTCCCGCTCATGGAAATGGCACACAATGAGGGTCTCAAAATGCTGCAGAAAAGGAAAAACGAACTGTCAGAATGAATTCAGTGCCCTAAAGAAACAGTTGTACACTTCATAAGAGGTATGTTCAACTTTCCATACAAATATAGTGTTCATAAGAGGTGTACACTTCTTAATAGTGTAACTAAAATGAGCAAAACTTGGAGTTGGTAATTTCATGTCACACCACACAAAAAACATCTCCTATATGGGTTGGGAGTACCGCGCCACTAAAAAGAGTTTATGGAGATGACAAGTACAATTATACAAGATATTCATCAAATTAATCAGTATTAAAATGAAGTTGCTTCCAAGTTCTCTCTTCTCTGTAAGAAATAAAAACATAAAAGATTCAATTTAGTTAACTATGGTAGGAACTGGTTTAAAGATAACACTGAATTTAGATGCTTTTGGATCTATGCAGTTTTTTCAGAATGCGTGTGAGCAATGTTGTAACCATGAGAACTCAAAATCTTCTTTCACAGCATGAAGACCACCAAAGACACCATTTTTACCCTGGCAAGAAATGAGGATTCTATACTTACCTTTGGAGGCTTCTGAAGTAAATACAACATCAACTTGCAGGTTAGGACAAATGCAGTCTGATTATATCCAAGGGAATGCTTTTCTTTAGAGCTAAAGATGACTGGCTCATTAAAGTATGGTTTATCATTCAACACAAGGCCCTGGATGGAGACCAACACCTGCAGCATGGTGGAATTTGACTTGCCCCACTTCTCAGATCCAGAACCTAACCAAGTGTTCAGCAGGCTGAGGCAAACTTTACCACTCTCGTACAAGTTTGGATTAAGCCGAAGCCCACTCGAATGGAAATGAACTTTCTGTGCACATTGAATAGGTTTCTGTTAAGATATTGCAATTTTGGAGGACCAGTGTGAAGTGGTAAAAACAAGGGGAAGGCGGCTGTGAAGTGGTAAACATACCGGTGGACATCGCGGGTATTCAGGAGGAAAACAAACATCAAAGAAGAACAGACCATCATGATATGGAGTTCCAGCAGGCCCAACAATGGCAGCCCTAATAAGATCAATCCTATCTTCATAAACTCTAACATAAATAGTTTCTGCATATTGAAGCAAAACTCAGACCAAGTATTGTTAATACAAGAAATCAACTGATTAAGGCGCTAAAAGAAAGACTGCAGTTGCAAATATGAAATGATACGTGTCTTGACACTAGGACCCCCCATACTACCCATTAGTTTAGGAGTTGTGAGTAGTTCCCAGTTTTCCCATTCATTTCAAATATAAATGATTAGTTTCTGAACATGATATATCCACTATGACAAGATAGCATAGAATGGTTTCAACAATCCATTATGAGAAACTGTATGAAAGGGCCAACGATGCAGAAAATGATGGTTGTATAGAAACAACAGTCCTTTGAAGTTTCTACAGTGGCAGTCTGTAGGACGTTAGTATAAACAAAAATAGCATCAAGGAGTATTTAAATAAATTGAGCATGAATTGTGTCAAGTTTGAACTGAACAACCATCAAAACTTTCAGGGTTTTCAGCTACTCAAGGTAGAATGAGCGGGTACTAACTTGAAGTTAACACAAATTTAATATACTTTACTTTAGCAGGAAAATTAATAAGATATAATCGGCATACACCAAGTGTAGAGAATGATGAATGATTGACTGCATGGAAATAATAGTACCATCCTTTAGATTTTATTTAGTTACAGTAGGGGGCGGGGGGCATTCGTACGCACAGAAATGGCATCATTAATTTTTTTAACACATCGAGGCAAACATGAACAATGCCACGAGTTAATGTGGGAATCAACAGCCATTTTCAAAACTCCCACCCGCACAATCAAGTTAGAAGAATCAATAAACATATCGTTATCAAATTGACATAGTCTGATCAAAACAAATATACCAATTTTATCATATAAAGATATTACATGTGTACCGACCAGGTAGATCTCTCTGCAGAAGCTTCCATTCATTTTGGATTGCTTTCGCCCAATCTTTCGTGGTCTGGTCACAGATAGGAGGCGGGAAATTAGTCCGCAGTTGGGTCTAACAGAAACAGAGTTCAAGAAAGGACAAAGCATACCTTCCCTGGTGAAGTCTTTGCATAGTGGTGGTCAGAGTAATCTTGAACAACATCAAATTGGTTAAATGACTTGTGATCCTCATTTTCAGATCCATGTCCTTCCTTTATCATCGATGAGATATTACTCGAACATTCAGGCTCGTCCTTTGGCACTGATAGCACCGTACCAGCCCCACTTGAACATGGATCCAAGAGACTGTTACTCGCAAGGATATTAAGAGTAGAGTGTGGAGCAGCACCTGAAATCCAGTAGAATGTTGACTAATGACGTATGCTATCACCAAATATGTACATAAAAGTTTAGGCCAGAGATATAGAATGGGATTCCATCTGATGCAGCCTATACCAAGGTTCATTGCCACAATGCCTCTGTAGTTTTCAACTCAAATTATTGTATTTATTTGTTGTGAATAAGGTGTCATTACAACTGATATTAGTGTGAAAGCACATCCCTGTGGCAGGTAAAAAATCTACAAGTTCAATCTAGTAAGTCCAGTTACCTCAATTTTCTGTATCCCTGCACCCACCCCCCAAGTGATGGCCAGCTAGTTTCCATGTTAAATTTTGTGAAAGTTGGATGCCGTTCGAAGTAATCCTAGTGTCAATAAAACTGGTATGACATGAAAAAAAGGGCAACCTGGTGCATGTAGCTCCCGCTTGCGCAGGGTCCAGGGAAGGGTCCGACCACTTTGGGTCTATAGTACGCAGCCTTTCCCTACATTTCTGTAAGAGGCTGTTTCCAGGACTTGAACCCATAACCTCATGGTCACAAGGCAGCAGCTTTACCACTGCGCCAAGGCTCCCCTTCACTGGTATGACATGCATAAATTAAAATATATAAATAGCTGTGATTTCCTCAGGCTGTGAATACGGCATGTATAATATATGCATATAATTCAGTCTTCATTCTGTAGATCACCAAACTAATTGCTTCCTTATACATGTGGTTACAAATGTTTTACACAATGGAAATACAACTCCCAAGTGGCTGCACCGCATTTAGTAAGACCATGAGTAATTTATTAGTCAAGATTTTTGCAACTCCTAGATCTATTTCAGGGCTTACTTTACTAAGTAGTCAGTACTCAACCAACTGAAAGTGTCATATACATTTTCAGATAATTGCTAATAAGGTTTAAAACTAATAAGTATATCTAATCTGAAGGCGCATAAGGAACATTTCAAGATTTTACATTTGGCATGGAAGGCTACCTTGCGAAACAGGGTTGATGGACTTTCCTGCATAAAATGATTCATCCATTTGTTAGAAGAACATTGACGAAAATAACAAAAAATCATTTATTTATTACATGATGGGTTTAATTAATATAACAAACTTCAGACGTTGTTAACCACAGAGAGACATTAATTCATAATGCCATTTCATGTCTAACCAAACTAAAAAAAAACGGATAGGTTGGCTAGGAGGAGACTGGCCAACCAAGTAGTATGTCAGTGTTAAGATTCAGTCCCATGCCGGCTTGCCCAACTCTGGGCATTCCTCCATCCAACCAAACTCTAGTGGCACTCTAACTACACCAAGATATCATTCTTTTGCTTTTCTTGTGAAAATGCATGTCCCACACCACAATGTGGCATTTGTGGTGTGCCCCTTAATCGTGTGGTAAGATATCAACCTAGAACTTGCTGGGTTCCTAAGAGTTAATTCGTACGGTTCAGTAGTTCCAACACAAGCAAGACAACTTAGTGCAAAGCAAACGTCCAACCATCCTGATATAACTATCCGGACCACAGAGCAAGCAGCCAAATTAACTGAAGAAAAAATTGAAGAATTTAATCCATTACAACTGCAGGGTTAGATATGCAGTGTCCCTGCATCCCGAAAACATATTCATACCAGAGTTGCTGGAAGAAAGAGTGGCAACCCCATCGGATGAGAACAGCATTGAACAAACTAGATTATTCTCTTGAAGATGGAAATACTCATTATTAAATGAGCAAAGCCCGATTGGCCATGTGAATCGATAGCAGTCTACCAGTGACAAATAAATCATGTTGGATCAGGAAGGGCGCATCACCTTTCTTCTTGGAATCCTTCTTCTTCTTCTTCTTGCCTACTCCAAACAGCTGAAGCAGCTTGCTCAGAACCATCCTTCAATGTTTCAATCCACCCCACAAGAAGAAAACCACCTGAAAAAACATGAAGCGCCATGGATGTGGAACCAATAACCAATTGCTAGAAAGGTGAATAAACACCGTAACATTCAGAGTATAAACAATTTCCTCACCAGGAGTAAAGACTACCGGAGAAAAGGAAAACAAGAGAAATTAAGCTCAAAATCTTGGAGAATCGCCATGGCGCGAGGAGACCCCTTTTTCCCCAAGAAATCTGCTCATCGGCCTCACCCCAACACTCTGATCTCAGTCAGTGCATGGGCGATGCCATTGCAGGACCAAAGGACCCGCGACACCACAACAAACCCATGGATGAACTCATGAACATGAAAAAAAAATGCAGGCAAGGGCGCAAGGACATGAGCAGGAGTATCACCGCATCATCATAACCCTACAATGCGGCAAAGGAAAACGAAAGATCCCACGATACCAGAAAAGAAACGAAAGATCAGCGCGAGAAACCCCCACAACGATCGCGGATTGCAGGCCAGCAAGAAACGTAGCGGAAGGAAAAAACAGATGAAACCAACCAGTCGTCCTTCCTGGTGCCGCTCGTGAGTCGGGTGGAGGTCGCACCGGGGGAAGGTCGGGACTCGGGAGGAAGGAGGTAGGGTTTAGTAGGCAGGATTTGCGGGGTGGCGCGGCGGGGAATGCGGGCGTCACACCACACCACACCACACCACACGGATGGGGAGGGTCGGAATGTGCGACTGGACTCGACGGACGTGCCAGGGGAGGGACGAACGACGCGGGTGGAACCACACCCAGATCGCAAATCCATGGACGTCCAGAGGATTTTATTTTGGATTTTTACACCACTGAATAAATTGCAGGTGATATCTATCCTTTTTTTTTTTGAATTTTCACCGGGGGGAGAAGTAATCCTCCCCACCTGAATTGTATTCATTTGCTGCCTATAGGCTTTGCAGCCTAATACAAGATAGGGTTCAAGTGAACCAGAAGTACAGGGGACACAGGAAGAAGAAATAAAACAAAAACAACACATGGCGAGGGGGGACACAACACAACAAGGGGCATCACGGGAGCTCGAACTGCAGAGGCGAGCCAAAGACTAAACCACGACACTGCACCGTCGACGCAATCGAAAGACACCAGGCAACCAAGATTGCACAACGCCGTGACACCACCTGTGTCATGGGGCACATTCGAACGGTCACGCCGGGCCAAGACGACGCCACGGTACCTGTGTGCCACCGACGTAGTCGAAGGCATCACCAAGCATAGAACTTCACAGAGCACACCCAAAACATCACAACAAGGGGCACCACGGACGCTTGAACTGTAGCGGCGAACCGAGACTAAACCACAACACTGCGCCGTCGACGCAATCGAAAAGCACCGAGCAACCAAGACTGCACAACGCCGCGACACCACCTGTGTCATGGGGTACATTCGAACGGTCACGCCGGGCCGAGACGACGCCACGACACCTGTATGCCACCGGCATAGTCGTAGGGCATCACCAAGCATAGAACTCCACATAACACACCCAAAACATCACAAGACCGGGGGATGAAGACAGCGCCATCAAGATGGAAACGACGGGAAGCGTCGCCGCTGTCTCGGCCAGCAGCTGCTGGCCGACCATGGATTTCTCCCAAACCCCGGTCACATCCTCCCCCGACGAGACGCAAGGCAACCGCCAATAGCGCTAGGCAGCGCTGGGATGGACGGCCCCAGATCCGGGCGAATCCAACCGGCAGCGACGCCGGCAGGCACCCTTGACGCCGAGGCCACCAGTGAGGACCACCGGTGCGGCGCCCCCTGCAGGTGAAGCCACGAGACGACAACCCACCGGGGGATCTGGGAGGTGGAGGGCTCCCAAGAAGCAGAGAGCCACGACGCCACCTTCGTTAGGCGAGCACGCGGAGGAGCACGACGACAACAGAACTGGCGGCGGCGGAGAGATGAAGGAGGAGGCGCGTGGCAGAGCACGGGACAGGGCGCAGGGGCAAGGCATCCAGAACAGACCCTGCCATGGCAGGTCCAACACGGGGAAGGTCGGGGCCGGAGGCACCCATCAACGGCAAGGCCCGGCGCGGAGATGCCCGGCCAGCCGCCACGAGAGGAGAGCCGGCGCGGCAGCACGGCAGAGGCACCAACCGGAGGGGGAACCACCGGTCAAGGGCGCCGCCGGAGCCAGCTCGCAGTGCAAAATGGGGAGGTGGTCGATGCCGACGGTGGAGAGGGACGAGATCCAGCCGGAGGAGCATGCCGGAGCCGAGGCAGCCAAGCGGGAGGGCGTTGGGTCCGAATCCGGCCACGGGCAGCACCCCCGAGCTGGGGAGGGGCGGATCCGGAGGCTGGCGAGCCAGATCCGGCACGGGAGAGGGTGGGAGAGACCGGCTCGGGGCTCCCGCCATGGCCATGTCAGATGGAGCTTCGATTTTGAGATTTGAAGGAGCGGGTGGGGGGGTGCTCTAGACGGGAGGTACCTTGCTGCCACCGTCCGCTGCTAGGCTTCGCCCCGCGGCCTCCGACGACGACGGCGAGGGGAGGGAGTGGTGGAGAAGGGCGGAGGGTAGGTGGCGACGGCGGCCTCCGGAGTCGCCCGAGCATACTTTTTATTTTAGGGAAACGATTTGAGAACGGTGCGCCGGCCGAAACTTGGGCCTGTCGCACCGCTCGATGGCTGGCACAGCCCGGCTACTAATCCACTCGCACGTCACGTGACCGCTCAGCCTTGCCTTATCTTTTCCCCGCCACTGTTTGACCACTCTTTCCTCTCCTTCTTCCACAAGACAGCTTCTCTTTCTCCTCCTCTTTCATCTCCCTCGCCGGCGTGACTCCTCCACGCGAGCAGCTCCCCGACGCGGTGCTCATGCAGCTCCCGCTCCCAACAGCTGCGGCACTCGCGTGGCTCCTCCCTCTCCTATGGACACCACTGGTACTGTCGTGGAACGGTGCTGAACTGGCGGTGGCGGCGGTGGCCAAGGGTGAGGCCATGGACGAGTAGACTGATGGAAGATGATGCCTCGGTGACAACCGGTCAGTTTTTTTGCTGGAACCAGTTGGGAAAAAAGCTGCAACCAGTTGTTGCCGCAGCACCACCATGGAATCCACTCAGTCCATCCATCTAGCTCCACTCCGACGAAGCAAAACCTCCACCCCCTGGGGAAGCTTCAACCGGCTGAGCCAGAAGCTGCAACCATCGTCGAAATTAGCTACTACTGGGGAGGAATTTGCTACATACATCACGGCAGAGATGCAACCTACTACGGCAACGGGTTTTTTTTTGTTGCAGCTGTCCTCAAAATTTGCTACTACCGGTGATGGATTTTGCTACATCCATCATGGCGGAGCTGAGACCGGCAACGGCGTCGAGATGAATTGTTGCAACCGCCTATGGATTTTGCTACTACCGGCGAGGGTTTTGATACATCCATCATGGCGGAGATGAGACCGGCGACGGCGGCGAGATGATTTTGCTGCAACCGCAATTGATTTTTGCTACTATCAGCGAGGGATTTTGCTACATCCATGATTTTGCTACAGCCAGCGTTTTTTCTGCTGCATCCATGAACGGTGTTGACTTTTTGGCCATCGCTCACACAACCCCGTGCAGCGAGTTTTGATGGCGAGGGGGCGACGATGACACTAAGAGAGCTACCATGAAGCGAGAGCATGTGGTGAGGAGGGGGCGAGTAGGAGATGCGGCGGTGAGTAGGAGAGAGAGCAGGAGGTGAGGAGGAGAAGCAGCGGTGATGGCGGCGGATGGTGACAATGCTGGGTGGCCGGCGAGGATGGGGCCAAGGACGAGCAAGGCGACGAGGTGTGGCCGGCGAGCGCGGCGTCATACATGGCCCATGGCCGCCGGCGCGGGGAAGGAAGCGGGGAAGGAAGAAGACGAGAAGGAAGGTAGAATACGTCACGACGGGATCCAGTCGAACGGTTGGGCGGCTGAATCGAGTGGCTGGGAGCGGACCGACCGAAATTTTCGGCCGGCGCACCGGCGCTTAGTAGTGCCCTTTATTTTAGCCAATTTGGATTGATTTCTCTGAAGGAATTATTACGCTGGGTTGTACTATATTTTGTGCAGACTGGCTAGCGACATTGCGTGCTCATACTATGGACCACGCCATCATAGCGTCAAGCGGACGAAATTGTCCTGTGAATTCTGACATGCGTGTCATCTCTGCTCTGCCATGCCGACCTCGGTGCTCAAGCCATATTTCCTTTAATTATTTACTTCATTTAAATTAATTAAATAGAATGTTTTTTTAATCTTCATTGGTATTACTTTTGGACTGCACTTTTTTTACATGTTTAGGTAATCGACTTAGACTGCGTCACGCAGTCACTTCGGCAAGCCGACGTTGTCATCCCAATCGGCATAAATCAGCTCTCGTGATCACCTTGTTGGTCGAATTGCCATACCGACATGTTCGGTTGCCTCTCGGGGACTTCCGCATCGTTGAGAGAGCTCTACCTCATCGAGTGTTCGGCATATTGGCCATATTTCTTTTATTACTCACTTTGCATAAATTATTAATTATGCAACAATTTTTTTAATTTTTTATTATTACTATTATCTCCGGCTTGCACTATTTTCTGTGCACATGTAAATGATCTGGGTTGGGCAGTGTTGTCACCTCGGCGTACCGACGTACCACGTCACCTCGGCTGGACCTAGGGCTTTGTCATCACTTCATTAACCCATGCCAAGAACTTCGGCGTCATACTGCCGTCCTGCTCCGTCGCCTCAGACGGACTGGGGGTTCCACCTCTCCACATTGACTGTGCTATGTCGCCACTTTGGAGTGCCGAGCTCTCCGCTCGGCCACCTCGGGACCAGCCTGGGGGCTGGAACCTTGTCCCGCATCAAGCTCGGACCGCATCATCAATGCCGAACACATTAACCAGCTAAGTCGCTTTCATGCTCAAAGTCTTAAAATTTTAATTTGTGTTCGGTTCGACCATGCTCACATATGTTGTTTGTTAAAAGAAACTCCCTT